AGGAAGCCCTCACTATGAAGGAAAGGCTTGATAACTTGGACGACTTTAAACATGAGGAACTCCTATCATTGTGACATCAGTAAAAAGGGAAAAGCAAACAGTGAGGAGAAGATCCATACAGCACCTGAGGCTGGAAGGTGGGTCACATCCAGATAACATGAAGAACTTCTATAGATCCTTAAGATAAAAGACCCTTCCCAGTGAGCAGAAGACTGTTCCAGTCTTAGGACTGTGAGTCCTAGACAGTTCCTTCTCCCAGTTCCAGAATTTAGTCTGTGCGTCTTAGACCACTGGCACAGCCTAGTGGCTGGTCTCAGATCTGCCCTTCCCTTCTGTGTAGACTCCCAGCCCTTCCTGTGCATGTGCTGCTTCACTCAGCTATTTCTTCTGCCCCAAGTCCCTCCTTTCTCACAAGGGCTATAACTGTTTCCTCTTTCCCTCTGCTTGTGAATTCTGATCAGCTATTTTAAGAGTATTTCTCTCTTGACTTCCTCTTTCACTTTCCTTTTTGTACCTTCTTGTTGGACTTAAAAACTTTCAGTTGTAAAAGCTATCCTAAAATATCTCAAAGACTTTGGGAGAAAAAGCTCGTGCTGTAAGCTCCAGAGGCAGAGCAAAGACTTCAAGGTCCATATTCACCCATGGAGAGGTTGGTCTTTACTTTGCTTCAGTCATCCAGGTTCTCTTAAGGTGAGTGAAAGTTACTGAGTCATAGAGAGGCAAGACAGTGGCTTCGTTGCAGTGTTGTCTATAGAAGGCCCTGTACCTTGCTGGGTTATGAGACTCCCCTCCAATCTTATCTCCAAAGACTGAACAGACCATCCATGGGCATCTAGAGCAGTAGCCCTCAGTTGGGGAGAGAGCCAGTGTACTAGCACAATCTCTCTCCCTTTCTAGTGGGTCAGGATAGGCTACAGATGTTGGCACCTTAATGATTTCTCACATACTTACACATATTTCTGATACGGCACTCTACTTGCATCCCTCATCAAGGATTGACCTGAAGGCTTGGATTCTCCTTGTTTTCCTCAAATGACAACATCGATGTGGTGGTTTTCTCTTCAGATATAGTCTTCGCCTTGCTGCGTTCCTCTTTGGCTGTACTTGTTCACCTTGCATTGCTCATTCATTATTGAACATGGGAATAAACTGGGATATATGAACTTTTAAAGGTTTGAACAATGTTTAAAAACTTGGAGTTTAACAAAATAAAGCTAAATATCCCTCTTGTCTTGAAAAATTGGACACTCTAGTCTCTGATCTCAATTCCTAGATTGCTGTGAGTACACAGAGCTGGAGGGGCTGCCTGCACTTGGCTCATTCTTGTCTGACCTGCTTCTCTTCTTTATCATCTGCCTGACCCTGAGACATTGAGTTACTTTAGAAAGGAGAAACTGAACTTTTGTGGGCTAGCCTGGGGATCAGCCAGTATGTTTACTGTTAGTTCAAAAGGAAGATGAATTCCAGCTTTTAAAGAATATATTTTTGAAACATCCATTATGAAAATTTGAGAACACTTGTAGGGTACTTAATTGGCAAATATATCTGAGGTGGTGGCCCATTTCTTATACTTCAGTACTATGTGTTTGCTTAGAATTTAGTAAGCACTTGATAGATGCTTTACCTCCTGAGGTCACCAAGTCCCAGTATTTTTCCACTCAGGTGGTTAGCAGAAATGCCACCACATTGTATACCTGGCTGGCCAGTTCCACAAAATACCAGGCCCTTGTCTCTGCTTGGTTTATCTGGAGCACCCACTCAGGTTCCAGGTGTTCCTACAAGTGTATGTCAGCCCATTTTGAAGCTCCACTTTCTTTACTAGGATCCACTCCCTCGGAGCTGGCTTTAATGAGAGAACAGGGAGGGCCTTTGGGAAGCCTGCATCCCCACCTCCCCCCAACCCATGTGGTTAATGTAGTTTGTGTCTAGTACAGAGTGCATGCATTCCACACCCTGGAAATGGGTGTGTCAAAGTTCATCTCAATTCCTATAAAGAAAAAGAAAGCATTGTCTTTGGCATTTTGAGGTTTTGACCCAGATCATTTGGAGGCTGGGGAGAGCTCACTGTGTCTGGGGAGTTTGTTTAGTTCCCCAGACCTATAGCTGCTGAGAAACAGGGAACCTGGAGCTGTTGGGTTGGATCTGAAGCCCTGCCTTTACAGGTTCCCAGGTGGGCCTCTTCCAAGAGATGGCAGGAGCTAGCACCCTGTCCCTGATCCGGAGTTATCTTTGCCCCCTGAAATCAAACACTATATACACCACCCTGTAAAACTGCTTCCCTGTAGGCTCAAGTGTGCTTGCTAAGTAAACATCCTCTCTTGTTTTTGGAACTGAATTCATTTCTGCTTCCTGGTCATTCCATTCGGGTTTTTCTGTTCTTGGCGCCAGTCAGAATCAGGTTAATGGAAGAAGACTTAGAATTAGTCAGAGGCACCTAAGATGACTGTTTTAATCCTAGTAAAATTGTGGGGAGGGTAATAGGGTTGTGGGAAGAAAAAGATTGAGACTAAAAGTGAAACAAAACAAGTCTTCCTACACAGTCATTGTGATACTTTGCAAGTCACCTCTGCTGCCACGGGGACTTCTCTGTGAAGATTGAAGCACAATCTTACTGTGGTTGTAAACCACAGTGACCTCCCTCCTCAAGTTCTGTGGCTGTGTAAGCCCCTCCTCTGACCCTGTATCTGTCTTGCTCATTTCTCATGACTTACTTGTCTCATCTCACTTCCACACACTGGTGACATCCTATCACTATGGCAGTGAGCAGCCATGTCATTTTCTAAGTTCATGGAATGATGGGACAACTCTATGCTGAGCCTGGTTCCCTCTGGTTCTTCCTTCGGAAAGAGGAGGCTCCCTGGCAGAACTCAGAGCCCTTTGTTTATTTGATCCTGGGCTCTTGGATAAATCAGGAATGTCCTGACGTGAACTTAAGCATGTTTTTATTCCATGGAGAAGGAAACTCTGGCAAATAAGATTTGGATAAGCAGAGAACCATTCTGGGGGATTCTGGGGGACTTGTTTTACTGCTATTAAGTCACATTCCTTCAGTTGTCAGACCAGTAGGTGACTTCTTTATTGGCACGCTGTACCCTGCAGCACAGAAGGTGTGAATTTTAAACACTTTCCCCCCTGATGGGAGCCTGGCACAGATACTCTGGGTTGCTTTTAAAACCAGGGACTATCAAGTTGTCTTCCAAGTGGTCCTTCTCTCTACTGGGTGAAACCTTGGCCAAGGGTGGATGTGTGAAAAAGGCTGCTTCATAGGGTGGTACAGGAGAAGGTGGTTGCCTGGCCTCTTGTTCTCATTCATCTATTTGAAAGTCACAAGGTTCTTGATGTGGTACATTTTATGAATCAGCCATGACCTGAACACATCTAAAACGTCTGGTGGGGTCTAGGCTCAGAGGCTGGTTTGAAAAATTCTCATATATATGATGGTGGGAACATGAGACTTACTGAGTCTATCTGGGTATGTAAGGTCCAGTGGGTTAGTGTCTGAGTTCTTCTTAGAAGTATGGTGGGGGAGAAGGTAATGTTTGGAGCTGACAGTATCCCGAAGCAACCCCCACCTGCCTCTGGAGCATCCATAGAATGCCCTAATTATAAGATTTTCCATGTTTGTGGGTATACTGGACTGCTGTGAAAGATTGAAGGGTGCGCTGGTGGATGGTCATCTTGGTTGGTTACCCATCCTAAAAGGAGAACCAGGTTATCAGCTTGCCTCAGGTCCAGGCTTGGCTGTCACTCTGTTTTGTTGCCTTTTGTGTTATCAGAAAGATCTTGGTGACAAATGACTCAGCACCATGGACCTCTGCAACTGTGCAGCCTAAGTGCCTTTTGGAAAGTAATTGGACATTCTTACCTAGGCCCTAAAATTTTGAACCCTGGACTAATGGAGAAACAGACTGGTTTTACTCTGGATTTTTTTCATACTGTCGTTTGGTTTTATTTTCCAAATCCCTGTCCTGGTAGAGGGACCTCATTTGTTTTGGTAAACAGGCAATATTTTAGTTATGCTTTTTGTCCTTAGGAAAACAGGGAGATAAAGGTCCTGGTTTTTTTTTAGCAAAAAAAAAAGCAAAAGTAAATGACAGAAATAAACTATGGCTGTAATGTTGGACTGTTTGGAATAAAGAGTTAATGGGATGGTGGTCTCAGGGTGAGGACTGTTTTTACCCCCACAGCCAGAGAAGCCACATCATATGGCTGAATTTAAAATGATGCAATGTTTAAAATGGAACAGACCCAGTTGGGCCCTGGGTGCTGCCATTCGAAGAGTTAAGTTACTATTATGCCACAAAGCTCCCAGGGAAGAAGGGAACCTGCAGGGACCGGGACCTGTGTGCCCTAGAGCCATGAAGGACTGAGGGGGAAAAGGGCTGAAAAGTGTAGCCAAGGAAGCAGAATGTAGGTCCAACTTTTTTTTTTTTTTCCTTGTTTGACCAGCCTTGGCACTGCCCTCTGGCTCTCCAGGGGAAAAGCTGCAGTTCTGCTCTTGCAACACAAGGAGCAGACTGGAGAATTTAGATCTGCGTCACAGAGCTGAGAGAGAGAGAGAGAGAGAGAGAGAGAGAGAGAGAGAGAGAGGAGAGATCTCCGTCGTCGATAGGTCTGCTAGCAACAGCCGTGCTGCTGGGAGGGGGGAGATCAAGAAACAAGTCATAGCAACACTGGGCACCAGGTTCTGCCAGCTCATTCACTTGCCAAGCATTCAGAAATCAGTCAGGGGACTAGAGGCCCTCTGAGTAGCCTAAGCTAAGATGTCACGCAAGGTGGCACGGGCAGTTCTCGTGGGGGAGGAAGGTAGGATGGGGGGTAGGGGTGGGTGCAAGAGGTTGTAGAGTGACAGTGGGAGGCTTAACCAGACTGGATTCTGGAACATTCTGAACTGCGGCACCTTATATCTGGATGGAGATTTGGGTCTGCACCGGAGACTATGGGTGGTCCGGCTTCAGGACTTGATGGCATAACCCACTTCTTCCCCCACGTATGTATTTGCTGGGATCAGGGGCAATATCTCTGGTATGTGGGTGCTCTGTTTTTCTCACCTTCTCTCTTGCTTTTTGCTGTTTTTTTCCTCTGAGGGAGGGGTTTTTTCCACTTTAATTTCTTCTCCCTTAGTATCAGCTGCTCAAGCCTGACCAACGTAGAGGAGAAAGGAGTAAATGATCCTCGGCTTCCCACCTGACCTCCCACCCTTTACACTCTTTTCTTTTGGTGGACAGACAGACTGGTTTTCCAGGTTGTTGGGTGTCAGTGTCCATCTGTACAGGTCTCTGGGGAAGGAGGGAAGTGAGAAGTGCTGAAAGGCAGACAAGAGAGACAGGTTTTCCAGACATTCCCTTATTGAAATATGTGGTTCTGGGAATCTGAATGTGGGCTGGGAGAAGTGGGGAGAAGCTGGTAGGTTGTCACTGCGTAGTTGGGAAAAGTGGGGGAATGGTGACGCAGTCACTGTTGCGTCTTCTTAGGAGCTCTGTGGGGACAGGTAGTAAGGTTCCTGGGGTCTGTGGGGCCAGCAGAGGGGTTAAGGATGAGTTTAAGCAGGAAGCTAGCATTTAGAGATTAAATGTCATCTTTTTGGCGTTGGAAAGTTGTTTACCTTGCACTCCCTGTGTCTCCATGTTGGCTCCCTTCCAGTTCACATGTGATGGCCTTCCCTGTACTGCTGCATCATTAACTAAGTGACTGAGCTGGCCTTCCATTGGCCAGGGGAGGGCTCTTACTTCAGACACTTCCTCTTATTGGTGGGAGGGCTGATGGCAGGTGAAAAGCTCTTTTTGATTGGCTGAGGGCAGGGTATCAAATCTGAATTTGCATTTCACTTGCTTAAAGGGAGGGGGAGAAGCCCAGCAGCTTCTAAAATCTCTTTAGGGGTGTGCGTAGGCGCATGTGTCTGCCTGTTTTCTGACCACCCGGTCTCAGTCTCTTCCTTTACCTTTTTAAATTTCAGGAACTGTAAGGATAGAAGAAATTAGGATGCCCCAAACTTTTTTTTTTTCCCTTTTTTTGAGGAAGGATGTTGAGTAGATGACTGCACAGAGGTTTGACCAAATTGGAAGAAAATATTTGTCCTCTAATTTGGTGTCAGAAAAAGGAATTTTCCAATTAGCCACACCTCAGTGTTGCAGCAAAATAATTCTTGGCTTCCCTGGAAACAGTCAGGCAAGGTAGGGCAGAGTTGCTGCTGCTGTTGCCACCACCCTGGGCTTCCTGCTGACTGGACTGCTCCCCAGAGACTGGATTTGCACCGTTGCCCTGGCCATCCAGAGGTTGTCAGTCCAGCCCTGAACTGAGCTCACTGTTGGAAGGACCTGCCTTTTGGAAGCTGCTGCTCTCTGGTGCTTGGAAAGGTGAGGATGGGGACTGACCTTAAGACATTGCTCTGAAACTGCCTATTTGGTAAAATTTCCTGAAAAGTCAGTGGGCGACTAGAGGTCTGAAGGAGTGCTATTAGAATGGTTTGTCAGTCTGGGGAACCAGGAGATGGAGAGTAAAACTGGGGCAGCAGCAGTTGTCTTCTGATGGGAGATGAAGCTAGAAAATCAGGGTCCTAGCGCCTCCTTGTAGGGGTTTCAGATTTGTGAGAGGGGGTTTCCTGGGCCCTGAAACCATGCACAGTGGCCCTGCCAGTGATTGCGTATCAAGAGCTAGAGCGCAGTGCGCCCTGGGTCTCTGGCCTGGGACAAGCACCGCCCTCCTTGTTACATAACTCAGGGCGGCGTATGCCTTCTCAAGGCTTCCTTGCAAGCCTACCTCCCCACTCCTCAGAGCCCACAGCTGAGGGTCTGCTGGATAGCAGTGGAAGGTTCTTTCCATAAGAGCACTAGCCCTTGTGCACAAATGACAAATTTGAGAACAGAGATGGGCTGCTGTCTCATCTGAGGGCATGGGCCCCAGAACGTCCTTCTGAATGCCCTATGTGTCACCTATGGTCCCTGGGATCTGGAAGTGAGTGTAGCACCCTTCTTTTCCTCCTACTCTGTCTGGTTTTGGGGAAGGAATTTCCAAAGGAGAAGATTTGACAATATGAGTACAAGGGAAGGTGTGGGGGCCTGTTGGAAGGGTATTGGCAGCTCCCTTCCTTTTTTCTAACTCTTCTTTCTCTGACTGGAATCCTTTCTGGATTCCTTTAATCGTCTTTTTTTTTTTAAGGTGTCTCTGCTGGTCTCCCACATGGTGACTGGTAGGATTGGTTTTCCCAGTCCTGCTGTGCCAGTTCTGCAGAGTGGGTGGTGATGAGGTGGGATGGGGAGGAGGGAGGTTACTATGGGGGCTACAGGTACAGCACAGGCAGACTCAGTAGTAACTGCCACAGTAAAGGTGACCCCAGTGGCAGAACCACCTGGGTCACAACACTGGGTCAGGGGGAGGGTCTAAGAGGAAGCTTTCTGGGTCAGGGTTTGCCAGCCTGGGTCCCAAGCTTTGACAGAGTGTGGGCACCTGGCTTCTCTGCCCTAGTCGGTGTAGCTCAGAGATGTTCAGGGAAGAGCAGAGTGTTGGAGGAGAATTCACGCAGACACATCAGCTCCTCTCAGACGAGGCAGACCTATGGTTTGTGTTCCTCAAATAGGCTCTGTCCCTGGCAGCCTCCCCATGGAGACGAGTGAGATCCATGTTGGTCTGCAGCATTTGGTCCGATGGCCCTGCCTTTCCTCCACGCCCCCTGTCGGGGCCACAATTCCAGCCACCATTCTCCATTGAGGCTGCCTGCTGCCCAGCCCTTCCCAAGGCCCTTCTGCGTACAGCGGCCATCTTGTCTCTCCTGCTCAGAGAGTTAAAATGGTTTCCCATCGTTGTAAGGCTGAAATCCCTCCTCTTCAGTAGGGTGCTCAGGCATATAGTAAATAGCCCTAGCACTCCCAGGCAATCTGCCTCTCTTAGTTTCCCTATGTAGACCTTTATACTCCATCTACTCCAGCAAAACCAGGGCACTCACGTTGCCCCCCACCCCCACCCATATTCAGCACTGGTGTTTTCCATGCCCGCTTTCCACCTGTTGCAGCCACACTGTCTCCATGGACCTCTCCTGAGCACCCTGCAAGAAGTAGTCCCTGTAACCACTGTTTCAGGCAAGCCCTGTTCGGCATCTCCTCTCTTTCACGTTTTTTTTTATTGTTTATTTTTATGTAGTTACTTGTGTCCTCTACCAGAGTTTATGCTCCGAGAGGAAGCCCAGGGAAGAAGGAGGAAGCCATCTCTACTCAGAGGTTCTGTTGCAGGATGCCATGTTAGGCAATTCTTGAGCAGTTACTTGTTTATTTTTCACCATAACCCTTCGAGGAGAGTCCTGTGGCTGACAAGAACTGTGGTCTTCCGTACCTTTTTCCTGTATGAATCCTTGGTGTTTGCAAGATGCCTGTTAGAAGGTGGCTCTCAAATGTGACTATTTAAGGACTGTTCTAAGTCTCTAACACTGTGTTATGTCTGGATCACTTGGCTGGTCCAAGCCTACTTTATAACTAACATTCTCCTTTTTCTTCATGGCCAGGTTCAGTCAAGATGATTTTTGTAGATGAAATGGATTAACAAACCTCTGTTGTCCTGTCTACCTTCCTCCTGGAAGACCAGGCAGAGGCAGATAGATAGGAGTGCCTTCAGAAGAGGGGGAGCCCCAGGCATTAAGGCAGGTGCAGACACTGAACTGGTCACTTACCTAGGTCTCTACCCTAATCCTGTCTCTTCTCAAGTTGGGTGGTTTTAGACAGGCCATTCTGTTTCTTACATAAGTGACTTTAGTCTTTGAAGTTGAGCCCCAGCATCTTGCTCTTACAGGAATGCCCACTGCATTGTCAGGCATGTGGGTTCCCTGCAGGTTTGGCTGTTCCATTGCCTGAGATTTATTGGGGATGTAAAATGAGAGAATATCAGGTGACTAGAGAATTAGGGGGAAGGGAGCTGTATGCCCTTGTGTCACTACAGGGGCAGGGAGGTATATCCCAGCGGTTCAGGCCTCAAGCTCCCAAGGTAGTACTGTGCCCCAAGGCGTGACTACCCTTTAGCTTCTGTAGCAGGAATGTACCATAGGCTCTGAACTGTGAGGACTGGTGTAGCAGAGTGGGGATTAGGCAGAGAGCTTTCCTGGGAGCCTTTTGATGCTAGTTTTTTTTCTCTTCTTGCTGAACCTCAGCAGTGGCTGCTTGCTTGCTTGACTCCCATGGGAGGGGATCTGGGCACCTTGATGCCCCTTGTCGTCAGTACCAGGACTGTGGAGCGGAGTATGACGACAGCCGGTGAGTCCTCTGTTGATGGCAGTGGGGGCCCTGGTGACGGCTGCTTTGTTGGTTTTTTTCCTCTTTGGAAGATGACTCAGTGTATCGAGAGCCGGGAGATGGAGCTCTCAGCCGAGTGGCCAGAATGTTCTGTCAACAAAAAAGCAGCAAAAACAGCTCATTGGGGCTCTGGGCTAATCCCCAGCCTTGGGCCGCTTTTTAGGGAGGACTGGGCAGTGAGAAGACCACTTCTGGGCTTTAAGGTGGGGGCGATACCAGGTACCTCACCAGGACTCTGGAACCCTTGGATTTTAGAGTCAGAAAAGGAAAGATAGCTGAATATGTTACTTAGTGAGCTTAGAAAACAGGGCCATTTCTCTCTTTTTGCTTTCTTTCCTTCCTTCCTTCTTTTTATTTTTCTTTCTTTTTCTGCCCTTCTCATTAGTCCCAAATGACAGACATTTCCGGAGCCAGAATCCCCTTTAGGATTTCTCACTGGGGCTCTGTCTATTATGGGCTTGGTGGTCAGTGTTGAGGATAGAGGGTGACTCCTGTCTTCTCAAGGATGGGCAGGGAGAACCTCCATGACAGTGACATTGTAGGTACTCCATGATGATACCTGAGGACCCTTCATGTTCTGAGCTCCATGGGAGGATGGTGGTTCACCTCACTTGCCTGACGTGAAGGCAACTCTCCTGAGTGTGTCAGACTCCCCTTTGTGGCTCCACACCAGAGCTCACTTTCTTCCTTCATCTTCCTCGTTTCTTTCTGAGACAAAACAAAGGACCTTGAGCTAGCTAATGTACCCTCCCTCTCTTGTTCCCTCTCCCCCTCCCTCCCTCCCTCTCTTCCTTTCATTGGTACATCATCATGGCAGCTCAGGGTTCTAGACTTTTCCTGAGGCATTGTGCTAGAGGCATGTGATCCCACCACCCCCACCCCACCCCACTGCATCTGCCATGCCTTCCGGAAACAAGGGATAAAATATGCCTCCATTGCAACTCTATCTTGGCCAAACCGTTACCTTTTTCTCTCCTTGTCTATTCTTGGCACAGTCTGGGGTGAGGAACAGAAAACTTACGTTTGAAGGTGAGGGACATCCTGGCCTTAAGCTCCATCCCTCCTTTTTCCATGTGCCATTTTAAGTCTCCTGCTTTCCAGCCCCTGATACTAGCATTGATATGTACCCCCAGAGTACCTCCTTTGTCTAAGAGCCCTCTAAAATGATTCACTTGGGAGATCGGGAGGTATGGTTTTGGGCTTGGGGACCAAGCAAGAGGAGCGGGAGATACAATTGAGGTCATAGGGTGGGCATGGGAGATACAATTGAGGTACAGGGTGGGCATGGGGACCAAGCTGTCTTCACCTCTACAGTGTAAATGTATCCACAGCCTCTTGCCTTTGTGTCTGAGTAAAGAGCAACTTGACTGAAAAGGCTGCATGTGGATGGGGCTTGGGACCTTTGGGGTCATACTTCTTGGTTCTAAGCTATGCACTTGATGAGAATCTGGCTGCCATGCTTCAGAGAGCTCTGTTGTCTTGGAGGTTCATTTTTTCAAAGGTTGATAGACAAGTACTCCTTTTTATTTCTTATGTATTTATTTATTTATTTATTTGTTTATTTATTTTTTGTCTTTTTGAGTCAGGGCCTCCCAATAGCCCCAGTTGGGGCTGAGACCTGGCTGGCCTGGACCTCACAGAGATCCACCTACCTCTGCTTCCCAAATACTGGGATTAAAGGCGTGTGCCACTATACCCAACAGGTACTCTTGAATCAATGCTATACACAAAGGTACTGGCCCTTCTCTACATTGCTCTGCCCAGTGTTAGTCTGTCACAGCTGAAGTCTGTTGTCCCAGAGGGCACATATGAGCTCCAACTGGGATTCTAGTTTGGGGTCCTTTGCAAGTCATTGCTTGATTAGTTTTGTGAGCTGACCTGCCTTCCTTTATTTTCCCCACAGAGAGCTTGACAGAGTATAGCCCAGTTTATGAGTAGGTGACAATCTCTTGGCAGCTCATACTCAGCTGAGGATGATGCCTGTGTACCCATGAAGCCATACTCTGGGGTAAGTGTTCATTTGCATTCGTGTATGTTCTCTTCTGCCTTTGAACATCTAAAGTGAATAGGTGTTTTGTCCTCGATTTCTGTTGCCTTCTCTCCTCTCCTCTTATGTGCCCCCACTTTGTCCTTCAGAAGGAGAGGCTGGAATTCAAGTGTTCAACCAGCACACGACCCCTGACCACTCAGAGAAGCCAGTTTTCCCTAAAATGGAGACAGCTGCTGTGTCCTCAGTGAGAAGCACTAATAGCTGCACAAAGGACCCTACTGCCCTCACTGCCCCAAGCTTAAAGCTGAGGCTCCCAGCTGGCTGGCTATACAAGGATGGTCCTTGCCAGCACGTAGCGTGGATCTGCCAAGTTCTGACTCCAAATCTCTAGGCTGGTAGGAACCTCGACTATATATAGCCTTGTGCTAAGCAATTCTTATCAGACGTGTCTACCCTCCCCTGTGGGAGAGTGCTTTCATCAGAACTGGAACGTGGAGAATGAGGTATCTCCAAGGGCTGGAAGGTGTGTGTCCATGTCGGGTTTGGATCTGCCGTGCTTACTCTCCTTCCCCGTTTCAGATGCTGATTAATTCAAAGGTCATGCTGGATGAGGTTGCCGAGGTGGGACGAGGGCCAGGAGGATGTTGGGCTTAAAGAAGGAGAAACTTGTGGCATGTGATGTGGCCAAAGGTGGCTATGCAGTGCCTCAGATACCAGCCTCCAGTTTCCTGCTTGACTTGCTCTGCCCAAGGATATCTTTTGACCTCTCTTCACTCAGTTGAACCTTTTGCTCTCTGTGCTTTGCTAAGCCCCTTTCTCTTCTTGTTTTGATTTGTTTTTAGGATGAATAAGGGCATTCTCAGCTACTGGTCTACGAGCCTTATCTGCTCTTTGCCCTCAACCCCATTCAGCAAAGCAGAGAGGGGCAGCTCCTCTGGGGAGAAAGGTGGGTAGTGAATGACTCCATGGTGCTGGGTGGTGGTTGCAGGGTAGCTTGGATAGCCTCTTCCTTCTTGTAGGTACTGTTGAGCCACCAGTCTGTGTGGTTCCATGAGCACAGGTGCAACCTGATGTGACTTGAACCCAGTCTTGTCACTGAATTGTCATAAGGTTGCTGGTTAGAAATCAGAAGCAGCAAAGGAAATAGAACTGGGCCTGCCTCCCAGGTAGGTAGAGTGTGGCTGCTCCCCAGCTTTTCCCATCCTCCTTCCCTCAAACTTCATCATTCAGAATCTCCAACAATTTCTCATTTCTTTCCATTCTCCCACTCCTAGCTTCTCTGTGAATGGGGTGAGTAACTCGCAAAACACTGGCAGAAAGACAGCTAGCTCAACTGACCACGCTGCAAGATATATGGGAGATAGCTGGGCAGTGCTGTGGACAGGGTGTGGCAGTAGCAGGGCAGCTGGGCTTCCTACAGTCAGGGAAAGGAAACTTCTTGGCCACTGACATCTATCATGAGATTATTGTAGATGCAGTCTCCTTTCCCACCCCTGAGTTCTTGGGAACTTCCCAGGGCTTGAGCATGCTCTTTCCTGTGCAGTCAGAATGGGTATGTTTAACTCTGGACACACTGAGCCTTAGACTGCTTAGTGGCTTAGGGGCTTAGACTAGGTCTGAGGTCTGGAGTTTAGACTGGACTGAACAGTATGCTTCTGGGTCTTTCCTCCTTGAGATTTTCCTTTGAGTGAATCATTTTCTTCTCGGGAGGTATGGTTTTGTTGTCCAAGTTTGTCTCTCCATTGTTGTCCTAGTTTGTCCATTGCTGTAACAAAATACTCTGATCAAGTACCAACTTGGGGAGGAAAGGGTTTATTCAGCTTACATCTCCCAGGTCACAGTTCATCAGGGAGCCCAAGGTGGGAACTCAGGGCAGGAACCTGGAGGCAGGAGCTGAAGGACAGGCCATGGAGGAACATTGCTTACTGGCTTGCTCCCCCAGCCCCTGCTCAGCCTGCTTTCTTATGCAACACAGGCCCACCTGCCCAGGGGTGGAACCACCCACAGTGGGCTGGGCCCTCCCACATTACTCAACAATCAAGAAGATGCCCCACAGACATGGCCACAGGCCAGTCCAATGGAGGCAATGCCCCAGTTGAGGCTCCCTCAACCCAGGTGTGTCAGGTTGACACTAAAACTATTCAGCACAATTGGCTTCAGAGCATCTCCAGGCAATTGACATAGAAATGCTTTTCCTTAACCTTACAACAATAGCAATGGCAATATAGTGATGCTGTCCCTCAGAACTGGAAAGACTGTCCCATTGTAGACACAATTCCGAAAGCAGATGGCAGGTACTTGCCATGGTGTCCAGAAGTCCCTGTTCATCATCGCTGTGTTTTTCTTGGTTAGTAGGGCCAGTGGGAGGTAACCAACAACAGAATGTCTGGGATCCAAAGAGAGAAGGAATGCTCCTTGGTAATTCTACTAGGCACCTGTGGGATCCCATCTCCAGCCATCCCAAGGCAACAGCTCTGCTCACATCTTGTAAATGTGTTTCCCCTTCCGTGCCTCCTCCCACTGCTGTTTGTGAAGACTGATGAATCCCACTTCACATGTTTAATCTCTCTCCCTCCTTTGAGACCAACCTCTGAGCTGAGTTTGAACAGCTTGAGATCCTTGCCAAGTGAGGGCAGTTTCCTTTGTGGAGCTCAACAAGTTCAACCACTGCCTTAGTAATATGTGAGGGACAGCTGGGAGTAGAGAGGCTGGAGTTCAAATAAAGAAGAGAATTTAGTCAACTCGGATGCAGCCGAGAGGTGGAAAGGAGTAAGCCCAGTTCTTCAAGATGGGCCCCACTGGAGGGTTGGAGCCAGATATGCTGCTGGCCAGGTTTGGGCACCTCAGCTTCTGTGTTCAGCACATTCCTGGACCTCACTGATGGCTTCTGCTCCCATGTACAGCCCTGCTCTTGCTTGGCTGGGAAAGTAGGTGGAGAGCAAAGGGGAAATTTGTTCCTTGTCAGTGTCTCTGAATGAGACACGTATATCCCCTGCTCATTTTCTTTTTTTCTGACCCTTACCTAATGGTTTGCCCCAAGTTACCAGCCTGGCTTCTGCTGTGTGACAAGCATCATTGCGTGTTGCCAGCTGGGCAAGTAGGATAATCGGTGTTCCTGAGAGGGGCCCAGGCATGCCTGGTACTTTTTCCTTGACCTCTGGGAGGCAGGAGGAGCCTTTCCATCAGGGATCTAGCAAAGGTTAACAGCTGCGGCACTGAAGCTGAGATGCTGTGGCTGGCTAGAGCAGCATACAAGGTGCCCTGCTCAGGTCCCTGATTAGTTGACACCATCTCCATTCCACTGCATCCTGTTCTTATTGGGGCTGTGAATTGTTGAATGCACATCTTGGCTCTGTCCTATGGGTTGGGTGTTTCTAAGGCTTCAGCTTTAGAAGAGGATGTGAACTCCCATAGGTCACTTTTTTGCATGTGTGCACAGCCTGCCTCTGGGATAAGTAAGAGATACTGCCCTTTCTATCAGCCTGCTGCCTATCCATGAAAGGTCCTCCTTTTCCTTCTCTTCTGAGACTCATAGTGGTCATGAGAGAAGAATACACTGGATTTGGTTCCTTCTGGCTCTTAGCATGGGAAATGTTTATGGGTGATAAGGGAGAGAACACTCTTGGAGCCCCATTCAGTGCAGAACCTGATGCTGTAGACTCAAGCCCTGTGTGGGTGGAGTGCCAGATGGGATGGAGGGAGCTATACAAGGCCATGGTTGGGTGTGGTTGAATCATAGGTCAGATCATAGACCCACCTTGACAAGACTTTGTGCCCTCTCTGTGGCCTCCATGGAGAGTACACATCTATCTAAATGCCTAGATTTCAGACATGGTGGGGCCAGGATGAGTCTATAATGAGGCATGGAGTTCTAAGATGGTGTTAGAGTTTTTGGTCTTCGTATGCCATCCAGGGAAAATATGAAACTGGTTTTTATGAAAACCCTCTCTACTTGATTTCATCCTCAGAACATCCAGGTGACACAAATATTGTTTTCCTTTTATTGTTAGTGAAAGTGTAATTATTAAATGACTTAATCAAGCTACACTGTTGATGAGGTTGTTGAGATTTGATTCAGCGCTTCTGATTCCAAAGCCCTTGCTTTCTCTTCATCCTCGGACTAAAGTCAGACATTTTTGTGAACTAACACCCTTTGAGAAGTGATGTAGACCAGAGTGAAAGCAGACTATGACACAGGAAGGCTCTGCACATTCTTTTTCAGGGAGGTGAAGCTGTGGCAGATGTTCTGTGGATAGGTGGACTCAGGTTCTCGCCTTCTAGATGCTAAGGTCTGTACTACGTACTGGGGATTCAAAGTCCCTACATGACGTTTCTCCTCACCCTGTGGGGGTTAGATTGTTAATAATAAAGCAGTTTAAAACATGCGTAATAGCCATAGATGGCATTGTGCGGGGTGGAAGATGACAGTACCACTCAGTGAAAGTGGTGACTAATGCCTATCATGATGGCCCTTGGGAGGCTGAAGCAGGAGGACTGTAAGTTTCAGGGTAGCCTCGGTTATATAGTAAGACCATGTTTCCAAAAACAGGGAGCAGGGAGGAAGAGAGAAAAGAGGGAAGAAAGTAGTTGGAGAGAAGGGGTTCCAGAAGATGACCCCGTTCTAAAGGGCTTCAGTCTCCTGGGAAGCCATATTGATTGAACTATCTTCTAAAAGCTTGGGATTGAGTGGATACTAACTCATTTTTAAATCTTATGCACTAGGGAAATCCTTGAAAGTTCTCTGTGGCTCACAGAAGCATGTAGGTTAGGAATCAAAGTCGGGGGAAAAGTCAAATGCTGGGCCATCAGCTTAATGTTATTTTCATTTGCATGGCTGCTCTTGGCTTTCTGTCTCCCACCATCAACGCTAATCATATATTAGCTGACTCTGCACCTCAGTCTAGTCACTATTCTTCTCTTGTCCATGCAGCACAGGAAGCATTCAGGTCAGGTCTTTGCCAAGTCACTGACTAAATATGTGCTTGTAGGAGGTTAACTTGTAGCCCAGCCTCTGCTGGGACCATGATCACTGTAGGGAATGGACAAGGTCCCAGTGGGAAGATGCCACCTGGTGTCAAATGCTGTGTGTACTTTATGCTCTGTGAGGTGGAAGCAGGTCATTGGTGCTGAGACACAAGGGCCTGAGCTCCACGTGTATAACTCTAGGACTCAGAACTTACTTATTTGAAAGAAGAAATGGCTGAGCCCAAGGTGAATCAGGCTATTTGATTCCTTCATTGTCCTGATACTGACACTTGGACCTACCTAGATTGCAGGAGTTGCCTGTGACTGAAGGTCTCTGTGGATGCCTGGGGATGAAGTAGTGTATGTGATTGGGATTTGGGGAGAGGAGAGCGGGTCAGGGAAAGTGGGTTTATGCTGTTTTCTTTTCACACTTATGGTCCTGTTTCCTTGTCTAAGAAATGGCTTCTGAGTGAGGATCCTTTTGGAGGTTCCAACTCATTTTAACCCTAAGCCTGCCCTGGATGTTTGTGGAGTTTTTGCTCAGCTAGAAACTCAGGGCCAGGAAAATGAGCCCAGGTGGCTAAGAGAGAAGGGAGGGTATTAAAGGCCTAAGAACAGCCTAGTCCTGTTCCAAAGAAGTACCCTAGTGCTGGTGTGAAGGAGGATGGATGACATGGATGAGAGTTGGGGTAGATAGTAGGAATGGGTTTTTGGATGGGTGACAGGGATGGGAAATAAGGGACATTCTTAGCAAAAGTGGTCAGTGAGGACCAATCAAGTGACAAGACATAACACTGTTCCCTCTGAGAGGCAGGTGGGAGATAGGTATCTGGGAGCTGCTGTGGAGCTGGCTTGAGAGACACTGTATGTTCTAGGAAGGTTTTCTGTGCCAAGAGGACTTACTTTGTGTTTAGTCTTCTTTCCTTATGTGATGGTTAAGATCTTCTACCAAAACTGAATTTAAGAAGAAGATGGTGAAAGAAAAGAAAAACAAAGACAAAATGAAAAGGTCTAGTGGGTTCCATTTCCATGCTGGCTTTTTAATCTTGAGTCTGTCTAAAAAAGGGCTAAACTAAAGCACATGGAGGAGAGTACAGACTGGGGCTAGGTGTGATTGGGAATCTAGATTATCTGTAGTGTGACAGTCATTCTCAAAGGCTCCCTGGGTAGGAGTCCCCTGGGCCGAAGACCATGCAGAACAGACTGCTGAACAGGATAAGGAGCTTTAAAGTTTCTGTATACTCACATCTCTTGACAGTGGTTGGTTCAGTGGGTCCTTGCACAACCCCAAGCAGAAAGGTGGCATTGGACTTATCATGATAGAACTGAGACAGGCAGGGCCCGCTCAAGACCCAGCTGCTTCTTCTAGCTTTGGGTCTTCCTCTCAGGTCCCCTGCTCCCAACTAGAGTTGGGTATTGGGGTCCTAGGTAATGTTCTGGATCTAAGACCTTCGTTTCCTTCTTTGCACATTGGAGAAAAGGAAGGCTCAGAATGTCTGCAGTCTTCTGTCCTCTGTTTCTCTATTTGGAGCTCTTGTGAGAGCTGGCTTATACTTCTTGATTAGGTTGCCAAACATTCCCTCTGTTCCGGAGAGGCTTCTACATGTAGAAGGTTCTGGAATATGTGCTACCTCAAGCCATTTTGATAATTCCATAGAGCTCTTTGTGTGGTCTAGGCATGTTTCTATTGTGTGTGTGTGTGTGTGTCAGAGAGAGGAAGTCTCATTGTGCTGTCTTTGAGGTTTTTTTCTAGCAAGTTTGTGAGGGATGCCCGGAGCTCTTCCCCAGCATGTGTGTTGTGTTTGTGTTACCTATTTGTTGACCTGTTTGTTGGCTAATATACATCACTCACTAGAAACACTGCATCATCTCAGAACTCTTATCAATGTGGAAGAATAGCCCTCACCCATGCAGGGAAAGCAGGTGACAGGACTTATGTGGCCCAGACTTCCTTGAATTCTGAGCTCAATCCCCTTTCTTTTAAGGGGTGCTGAAGATGAGTTATTGGACTGTGTGACTTCTTGGTTATTCAGCCTCAGAGTGACCTTCATTTGACTAGATGCAGGACTTGGATGAGGGCCTGGGGAATTATTTGTGTTTATTCATCATGGACTTGGTCATGAAGGGTTAGGTTTTCTCTGGGAGTAGTCCCTTCAGAGCACTTGAGGTTGGACAGGAGCAGTATACATATGTGTCTATGAGCATTATGTTCCCTGAATGGACTGTGTCAGTGGATGGGATGGCACAGCAGAGTACTTTTGACAGAGAATATCTTCAGTAGCCTTGTATGAAGCTGTTGTGTATTAGATCTGATTCTTTCTGGTTACCTGGAAGATGGAAAGAGAATGGACCCAACTTGTAGCAGGGAAGGTAAATCAGGTGGATGTCTTGGAGAGCCTGTGTATAGCCTTTGTTGAATTTCCAAGGAAGGATAGAGCCTCCTGAGGAGAGGACTCTCGGGTACGCTTGTCAGGTCTGCCTAGTTTTGAGGCTGTGGAACTTTGAGACCATCCCTAGAGCATGTGTGGTCAAGGTACAATGGTACAGAGTGGTTCCTTGACTCTACCCTTCATCATCCCTGGCTGCCTTTGAGTAGCCCTACCTAAGTTGGCAAGGAATATGTGGACATAGAACCTGGGACTATAACCCATTTCCCTTTGTAGAGAGATTTCTGTCACTGAGCCTATGGGTGCTGTTTTTATTCTCATATAAAAAAGTAGAGAAAGTATACTATTGCCCCGTATCTCTTTCAGGCAAAATCTGCTCTAATCCTGTATTTGTACCATCACCACCACCTACCCTAGGCCATACTTTCTGGCCAAGGGGATACTTGACAGGCATCGTGGATAACTCATATCCTCGTATGAATTTTAAACTATCCCTGGATTTCTTATAACAGCTCATTAATGCAAATGCTGTGTAAAAAGTTGTTATAAGAATTGTTGTTATAAGAATTGTCCCCTAAAGCCTGTGCATGTAAGATAAAGATGCAGTTCATGTTTATATATACATATAGATGGACCGAAGTTGGCAAGCAGGGTTACAGAATCCATGGATATGGAAAGCTAGTGACATTTGCTACCTTCCTGGAGTACAAGCCTTGTATCACTGAATTTGTGATTATGATTTGGAGTGTAAACAAACTGCTCACTGCTGGGATCCCTCTTGTCTCCAGGGGTCCAGGAAAGCTGCCTACTGCCCCCTACAGGATATCCTGGCAGGGACAAGTTTGCCCCAGTGTGTATCTTACTTGGAGTGGGAATTGTTTAGAAAGTATGCAAAACCTAAACCTGATTTGCTGTTAATTCTTTTCAGTTCAAACCCTAATGGCCTTGGAAATCTGAGATGACATGTCACTCTGCTTTACATTCTGCTACATGAGAAACACCAGAGAGGAAAGGGACACTGGCTTCTGGCTATTTGCGACTCTCCAAAACAGGTCTGTTCAAAAAGGAATACATTTAATCTTTTGGGTCTAATAGACGTTAATTGTATTTTCTCTCCCTTTTTAAAAAAAAAAAAAAAACTACTCTCTCTTCTTCACCACCCCCCAGCTTTCCAGCCTCCAAAGAATTTAATCTGTTGTACAACAGACAATACAGTTACTAAACTTTGAAAACAAGGTGCAGCCTCCCCAACAAGGAGAAGGGCATGCCGGGTAACAGCCCCAGGGAACATGCTAGGCTTGAGATGGAGCTTGGAGAGCCCAGTTGGTTGGGTGCCTGGGTACCTGCCCTGCCCTGCCCTGCCCTGCCCTGCCCTGCCCTGCCCATGCACTAAACCATCCCTAGTGCAGAGGAGAAGGAGCCCAAGTGAAAGGAGATAGAGAAGAGTTTGCAAAGGGGAAGCTGTGCATGTTCCCCTCTGATCTGAGGGGAATGCACTAGACTATGAAATTTTCTTCTCTGACTCTTTTTCCCTCCCTTCTTCCCCCTTCCTCCTCCTTCCACCTCATCTTCCTTCTCACTGTTCTTGAGACTAGCAGACAAAAGCCCTGATAACAGAATAGGACTAGAATAGCAGTGTAGATACAGCTACCTCTGCCTGGCCCAGCCTTCCTTCCCAGCTGGGGAAGTGAAGCGACATATCACATCACAGGGCGTGCCCCAGTCTATGTGTTCTGCCAGGTATGTGTCCAGGTAGAACTGCCACTGGGAGGTCAGTGGGTCTACTCTGGCTTCCTGGTACCTACCTAGGAGGATAACCAACTCAAATGCCCTCCACTCTGAGTGCTCTGTTCTCCCTAGGGAGGAGTGATGCTTCTTGCAGAGAATCCTGGGGGACCCAGTAAGCAGGCACATGATCCTGTGAGTGCGGTACCTGGTGGGATGCTGTGTCTGTTGCTTGCTTCCTGGAAGCTGAAGGAGGGGGTGGGATCAGTCTGCCTGGAGGAGGTAGTCTGCCTTCTTCTCCTAAATAGCTGCTGTCTTCCCTTTTTAATCCTTCTTCACTGAGCCGGATAGTTTGAGAGTGCCCAGGGAATGGACTTCAATGGGTCTGGGGCCAGGAACTTTGCATCAGGCATTGTTTGTGAAAGAGACCACAGGCAGGCTTACCTTTCCTCTTTTGGCAAGCTGCAGCCTCCTTGAAAGTGGTTCAGAGCTGTGCCTGTCCTCCCTGTGAGTGTAAAGCCCTCTGCCAGGGCCAAGGGTATAGGGCACACTTGCCTTCACTCTGTCCCTCCTTCCCTTCTTCCTCCTGGGCCCATCTCATCCCAGGAACAGCAATAGTACAGTGCCCTGTCTAGCCCAGATGCGGCCCTCAGTGTCCTGTACTGAATTGTACTGAGTCTGGGAGCTTTTGAGACCCAAGACTTATTTAGTAGCACTGAGGGAGGGGACAGAAAACCTCTTTTAGGAGTACAGCTGCCCAGGAACATATCCCTCCATACCTCTGACCCAGGAAGGCCAGAAGAGTCAGTGCTGGCTCATGTAATCTTCAGAAGCCTGTGCTTCTCTCTGGGTTACCCAAGTAGGCATTTGAGGGGCCCACTGGGTCTGGAGGATATTATGCCCACTTTGGGAGTCCAGCTAGCTCCATCTTCCCCTCCACCCTGGGATCTTCAACACATACTCTTCATTTTATCACCCTTTCCTCTGATTCATTAACCACAACTTGTTGGCAGCACGCCCTACCTACCCTGACAGCTAAAGACAAAATGTCCTGGATGCTGGGACTGGGCTGCTGTTGAAAGTGACAGGAAACTGGGCAGCCTGTTCAGTTCACATACGCAATGGTCTGGGTTGTCTTGGGGGCAAGATGTTCCCTTTTCTTTTCAAAATACAAAAAAAGCCTTCCCTAGGTTCTCCCTTCCCCCAAGATGAACTGTAACTGGTGAGACCCAACACTAGCCTTAGAGGCAGGCAAGAAATGAACAGTGGGCTCTCCTTCTAGTACCCTCCCCTACTCTGGCTGGAGCTCTCATCATGCACATAGCCGTGACTCAGCACCCAGTTCTGGGTCAGGAGGGAGAAGCTGCTGCCCTGGCTGGAACCTTCCCACATTCTACACGTGAGCACATCAAGCAACACAAGCAGGGCCAGCAGAGTGAGGTCTCTGGGGCAAGTATTGCTATGTTCACCTTCCTACTGATTTTTCTCCCACATTATCTTTTGGGCTCTGTTTTTGCCCCAGGATAAGAGTCTAAAAAACATAGCATGATTTATAGACTCTGAAGTAAAAGTGGTCTTTGCAATCTTTGTTTTTAACCCAGTGGCCCATAAAGAGTGTTTAACCCTTAGCTGTGCTGTTTGGCCTGAATAGTTTTTTCTGTATATTGATTTTGTTTACCTCTAAACAAAATATGGCCTCCTCACATTACTGTACCTCTGCTGCATGCTATTGATGCCTCTGTTTCCTTCCCTCTTAAGCACTTGGCATATGTGTGCATGGTAACCAATTTATCCTAGGCCTTCTCTTGACAGATGAAGACACTGAGGCCATTCTGGACTGTGGCAGGCCCCTGCTTTCAGCATATGGGCAAGCATGCATTCTAATTCACCAGGGAATGACCTTGCCTCATCCCTCCGGTCCCTCTCTTGACAGAGGAATGTTCTCTGGTGGGAGGGTAGAACAGCCTCCAGAGAAAAAATGGGGACAGGAACAGATGGGGGCTGGAGAGTGTTGTCCCACACTTTCCCCTGCTCAGTGGCCTTTTCAGGACTGCTGAGTGAGGCTGAGCTGAGTGGTTTTTCTCTCCTAGGCAGCACCACTGAGTCCTTAAATGTAGCTAGTTAGCTTGAGACCATTTAGTTGAGGGATAGGGGTAACCCAGTGCAGCCCAGAGCTTTTATGAGCTGCCTTCTCAGATATCCAAGTGACTCTCAGGCTGGTGGCAGAGAGCTGGCACCTTCCAGCCCTTGTCAAATCACCCAGCTCTTCCCAGTTAGTGAGGAACCATCAACTTGTTTTGGGAAAGACTGCTCTGCTGATGGTAGGAATCCTGTGGGAGTGCTGAGGCCTGAGTGACCCTTTATCCAGTGGGATGAGGCAGGCAGAAGATTTCAATGCTAGGACTACTTTCTGTCTCTCTTCTCTCTCTCTCTTTTTTTTTTTTTTGACCACAGGAAGACAGAATTTTTAATATTATAATTGCTTTTGAAATTAGCAAATTAGAAGAAAGTCAAGGCTTAATCTTTGCTCAATTAAGTAACTCAAAAATCTTCAAATCAGAAAAGGGTTCC